GGGACATATGGCTCAGTCATTACTCATAAAATGCCACTCCTCACGCAGCTGAATCATAAAAAGCACAGAGTTAGGGAGACAGACGTTAAGGCAAGAGAAGAGGGGTCAGGACACAGAGTTGAGCTGGACCCGACGTCAAATCCTGGCATACAAATTACACCTCTAAGTGTGTTTTTTTTAGTTGTAAGAATAAGAAAGACAAAGTTTACTTCCTAGGAGTCTTGTGAAGATTCAATGAACTAATACAAATGCAATACTTATGCCTGGCGCATACTTACAGATACCACCCTGGTAGGGGGAAAGCCCCACAGAACAGGACAGATGGAGAAGAAGCTATAGGATGCAGTGGCCAGGTGGGTGGGTAGGGTCAGTGATAACCAGGTGGCTCCCAGGGGTCTTGCTTCAGTGACCAGAGACAGAGCATGATGGGGAATGAGAGGCAGGATGACCAGAGTGTGCTGGGGAGAGCAGGGGTGACACTGAGGAATTTGGTTTTGCATCACACTCGCAGGGCTCAGGAGTCTTCTGAGCAGACAAAACTGACACTCAGGGGAGACAGCTAGCTTGGCAATGTGGGTTTCAAGGTCATGGCCTTATAGGTGGCATTTGAGCTTTAAAGACCAAATATGCAGAGAGCTTCCAGGGAGCTAATACAGACTCTTAACCTTAAGCTAGGATTTGTGAATCCCTGGGCATCTATGCATAAACTTCAGGGAGTCTGTGAACATTCTGAGGTTATACACAGAATGCGCCTGTGTGCACAGTCCTTGGTCCAGGCATTCAGTAAATTTTGAAAGGAGCCTGTGACATGAGCTCCCCTCTACCCAGCCCCATCTCAGAGTTACAAACCACCAGTGTAGTGACGTACCCCCAGGGGAACACAGACATTCAGGGGATCAGGCAGAGATTTAAAAAAACAGGGAGAAATCAAAAGACCCACACATGAATACAGACTCTGAAACACAACTCTTACGGGAGTCAGATGCGGCCAAGGAATCAACTGAAGTAACTGAACTTGGCAGGGGAGGTGGCTGCCGTCCACTGCAGCAGTGTGTTCTCAAGGGAAGGGACAGGCCTCCAGTGCCACAAGCCAGTGGCTTTATCACTATTTCATGAAGGAACTTGCCTATTTGGTAACCACGGGAGTCCAGCAAGCAAACATTTACAAATCGAAGTCTGTTTCAAGGGCACACAGAGGAGCCCCCCTGCCCTGCACCAGCCCAGCTGGATGCATTAGGTTCCCATCAGCTTGAGAGAGACCCCACCCAACAAGTATAGGAAACCCTCTGCTAAGGGAAAGTATCTTCTGTCTGTGTTACCAAATAAAATTACACAGAAACAAGCGCCACGGAACATCCCCAGTGCAAGCATACATTTTAGATGTGTGCAAGGTGCCTTGGAACGACAGTAACTGTCATTCAGCTCCAGTTAAGCTCAACACATAGGATATTTGTTAACAGTACCGACTTTGGAACAACCAGACTCAGAGTCAGTCCCAGCTCTATCCCTTACTAGCTGCTGCACTGGCAAGTTAATGAATGTCCTGAGCTTTACTGTCATTTAGAAAATGAGAATAGCAATTCCTGTTCCAGGCTTCACTGCGATTATTTATTGAGATAATACATTTAAGTGTTTAGCTCAGGGTCAGCTTAATAAATGCTGGCTGGTGCTATTAGAGTCTGGAGTATCAGTACTGTGCAAATGTGAGCCACATCCCTAATTTTACAATTTTTCTAGTAGACACATTTAATACATTAAAATAAATAGGTGAAACTAAGTCTAATAATATAGTTTACCCAAGATATCACCATTTCAATGCATAATTAATACATATTAATTGTACTTTCCTTCTCCCATGGCTCTGAAATCTAGCACCCCCTATCCAGCACCCCTCCATCTAGCACCCCTCCATCCAGTACCCCTCAGTTCAGACTGGCCTCATCTCATGCACTCAGCAGCCACAGTGTTAGAGGCTACTGGATGACACAGCTCTAGACCTCCAGTTTGCCCCAGAAAGCAGAGTAGTTCTCTAATTCTGTCCCTAAGAATCACATTGTCCCCACTACAGAAGTTAGAAAGGAACTTCTGCTGTATTTCTGGGTTCAATCTATACTTCTGATTATTTTTCAGCTTCTCCTGCTTCATCCTTCAGATCACTAAAAAGGTCGACAAGGTCCTGGAATACATACCACACAACTGTCATAGAAAGCAGGAAAGCAGGGCTGGGGAACTTTTCTAGTAAACACACCTATCACACATATTATGTGTGGCACATTCTTACAGATACCACCATGGTAGGGAAAAGCCCCACAGAACAGGACAGATGGAGAAGAAGCTTTAGGATTCAGTGGCTAGGTGGGTAGGTGGGGTCAGTGGTAACCAGGTGGCTCCCAGGAGTCTTGCTTCAGTGACCAGAGACAGAGCATGATGAGGAATGAGAGGCAGGATGACCAGAGTGTGCTGGGGAGAGCTGGGGTGACACTGAGGAATTTGGTTTTGCATCACACTTGCAGGGCTCAGCAGTCTTTTGAGCAGACAAGACTGATGCTCAGGGGAGACGGCTAGCTTGGCTATGTGGGTTTCAGGGTCATGGCCTTATAGGTGGCATTTGAGCTTTAAAGACCAAAGGTACCACCCACTTGCCATAGTGGTGTGTATATGTAGAGAAAAAAAGACTGGTTGACAATAACAGAACTTCTAAGTCCTGAACTAGAGGGTGTATGGCCTCCAAAGCCACAGATTCTTTAGTGCACTACCACCCATAGGAGGACGAGCTGACACACACACAGTGAGATCTCAGCCCATAAGGGCCGTGGGCTTAGTAGAACTGCCATACAGACAGCACCTCTGGGCAGCACCAGCCATGACCCTTTGCCTTGGACTGTCTGCAGCTTTATCATCAAAGACAGAGCAAGATGAAAGACAAAGAAATACTGTGATTTCAGGGGAAGTGGGAGAAACCTTTTCTGTAACCAGAAAAGGAACTAATTTAAAGCAACATATATTTTTCCAAGTGTTAAATTTAAGGGGATAATAAACTTTTGACATGAAATATTAATAGAACTTTTGTGTGCATATTAACATGCTTTTCTCATGCCCATGTAAGTAATTGAAGCAATACAGGGTTTCTGAGAGTTGGATTCAAAAGTCTCCAAGCGAAAAAGTGTAGCAAAGAAAATGAAATGATCATCTTAAGCCATCACAAGGAGACCAGTTCAGCAAACATGAGAAGCCCAAAGTCTTAACAAACAATCTGGGCTGTTGACTCCGTGGGCAAGAGCCCTTCAGCTGGCCCACAGTGTACTCTTGTGGGCTCCAAGTTCACAGTGAATTTGAAGCCCACAAGAACCAGTTATATTTAATAAACTCTGACTACAGCATGCAAGAGTTACCTAGACCAGCTCAGAAAAGCAAAAGGTTATGCTTCAGTTTGGACATGTTATTTGTTGAAGCAAAAACAGTGCAGAATAATGGGAAATCCAACAGGTGTGGGCATCTACTTATGGTGTAACCTTGCGTATATTTTTTCTTTACCTACAGAAGAGGACAGTTAATACTGGCTTTGCGGAAATTTTGCCAACATTACACATAATGTATTTAATAGTGCTTCACGAAGTGAAACAGCAAGGATTTAATAAACAGCTGTTACTAATAAGAATACTAAAAAGTGAGATACTTACATTCTTTTCCTTATTATAAAGACTTCATTGAACAAACTTTTAATAAAATGCAGCATAAAGCCCACTAAACTGGGCAGCACTTGTGACTCAAAGGAGTAGGGCGCTGGCCCCATATGCTAGAGGTGGCGGGTTCAAACCCAGCCCTGGCCAAAAAAATAATAATAATAAAGCCCACTAAACTGACTTCCTTTTAAAATCTGTACACATATGAAATATGCAAGAAAAAATCTTTTTCTTTTTTTTTTTTTGAGACAAAGTTTCACTATGTCCTCCTCAGTAGAGTGCTGTGGTATCACAGCTCACAGCAACCTCAAACTCTTCGGCTTAAGCGATTCTCTGGCTTCAGCCTCCCAAGTAGCTGGGACGACAGGTGCACACCACTATGCCCATCTATATTTGTTGCAGTTGTCATTCTTGTTTACCAGGCCCAGCCCAGGTTCAAACCTGCCTGCCTTGGTGCATATGGCTGGTGCCCCAACCACTGAGCTACAGGCACTGAGCCAAGATTTATTTTCTTAACCTTTGAAACCCCAAATGATTTTATAAACTTAACTTTCCCATGGTTAATGAAAAATGAGAAAAAATTGGTCTTGAGTGCCTCTATAAGTGGCATTAAAAACTATGTTATGTTTTTTATTTTAACAACTTAAGTATTCATCTATGATGGATTTTGTGGGGAGACGGTTAGAGAGGCAGGGGTGGTAGTGGATGGGGAGTTTAATGTGTACTCTCCTGTATCTCTATGTGGCTATGCTTTAAGGCTTAAAGTACAAATAATTCCTCCCCTTTGGTCTCAAAAGAACCCTCTCAAACTAGCAGGAATTGCTTCAGTCATAAAGAAGTCACATTTGATCCCAAAAAAAAATCTTATAATTTTTTTTTTCTTTATACCAGTTCCTTACTTTTTTAGAGAGATCATGCCTTAAAGCTAATTCAAAGAAAAGTCCCTTCAGATCCAAGAAATGCAAATTCAAATACTATAAAGACGCTGATCCAAGGACGTTATGTTCCAGTAATAGGGTACTAGGAATCTGTAAGTTGGGGGGATGAAAACCTTCCTCGAGGTCTCTCAAATCAAATCCCATCAGTGACTTTTTACTTCAGCTGAAGGTCAGTCTTGTTTTAAGTAAGAGATCTGCATACAGCTACCCGTGAACGTTCTGAGTGTGTGTGTGCAGATTTCAAGTTGATAAACGCAGTGTTAGAATCTCAGTAACATGTAGGACTCTTGGTACCTGCTTTGCTCCGGACTAGTGTGAAATTGTCAAAGAAGCAGGGAGCTATCTACCAACATTCACAGAAGAACAGGGCTAAGTTTACCTTTCTTTGGTCTGGATTTCACTGGCAAGGACTCCGTTCTTTCCATTGCTGCTTCTCTTTCTTTCCATCGCCTGATCTGTTCCTCTCGCATCTTGAAGAACAGGATCTGTTTCTGTTCTTCGCTGAGCTCTGCCAGAAGATCAGGATCTATGTACATCTCAGATAGTATCTGTTTCAGCATCTTTGGAGTCTTTTACAACTGTGGCAAAAGTTCCTGAAAATGGCCTCCAAGGGTGCCTCCGCCTTGGCTGGCTCTGGGGTGTGCCCGCTGACCTTCCCAAAGGCTCACACACCCAGCTGACCGGGACGATAATTCAGCAAACTGGCTCCTGAGACCCAGCACCAAATGTCCCGTTCAAAATGCCACTCACCAAACCTGTAAAGAGCAACAATCCCAAGTTAGGCAGTATTAAAATGTGTGGACACAGGCAAGGACAGGGTTATACGTAAGGCTTAGAGGAAATACAGTATTATTTTTCATTTCAGGGGAAAAGAGAAGGAGGAAGGCTGAGACACCCTTTGTTGAGAGTTTGTGTAACCTCTCTCCTGTAACTCCCAAAGATACATTATCAAAAAAACAAAGCAAACAAACAAACAAAATAAAACAAACCAAACTCTAACTTTGCACAGGTCAATCTCAGGGAAACAAAAAACCAAACAGAGGTTTGGTCTCCTTCCAACTAAGCACGCTTTATGACCACAGAGCCTAAGAAACCACCAAACTGTGAGGCTGGAAAAAGGAAGAAAAAAAAAGTCACAAGAAGAAAATAAAAACCTCTCACCGAAAGACCTGTCGCAAAAGTAAATACCATTTTTGAGATTTCACAGAGTTATTCACCCTAAGCCAAACTAGTCGTGCTCAAGGAAGAACAAAAAATAAAAAAGAAAGTACAATGCAAATTTTATATTCTCCTTTACGAGCAGCACTAAATAAACATAATTACTGTGCTTTCATCTTCGCAAAAGGATGGTGTAATTTCCAGACAACCTAATGGAGCCATGAAATTGGTACAGAGGGAGAAGAGAACATTCCTGTACATTCTGGAAGGTCACCAGGTTGTAGGTGTACCTTTTCCAGATAAGCTAATTTAATAACATCTAAATTTACAGACCAGATAAATGAAGGGTGGGGAGAAGGAATGAAGAGGTCACCAGGCTCCTAACAAAGGCTCCTTGATTTGTAAAAGTTTACTAAAGGGCTCCTTTAAAAAGAAGCCATGAACTTGGGCTTGCACAGAGGATTCACAGAGATTCAGCTGCACCTGGCAATTCCCCTGAAATTTCATTCTATCTCACACATTTCTATTTAGTTGATTTCAAAAAAAAAATACATCTTCATACTTTTACAATAAAAAAAAAAATGTGCATATATTTCCATTCTGGGTAGAGGAAAAAAAAAAACTTTGGTCTGAATGTAATAGGACATACAGAAATCTTACTATGATTTTATAGGATTACCTGGGTTCTACAGAAATTGACCAACATTTTGGTGCTTATAGCACCAAGCCTAGGTCTCTCCACCTAGCCATGTCCTCCCAAATATCTTGCTTCTCTGTACTAAGTTCAAACACTCTTACACTTCAATCTACCTCAGGCGTCCTCAAACTACGGCCCACAGGTCACATGCAGCCCGCCTAGTACATGTATCTGCCCCGCCGGGCCGCTGCTGCCTGTCCTGCTCAGCAGCCGACTTGTCCTGGGGCACGCAGTCTGGCCCTCCAACGGTCTGATGACAGTGAACTGGTCCCCTGTTTAAAAAGTGTGAGGACCCCTGCATGGCCACAAATGTTTGTGCTCTCTTTATTTTGTTTACCTTGTCATTCATGCAGGTAGGTTTTTAAAGTTCCTCTCACTGCCTGGGGGTCCCCTTCACCTTTCCCCTTGTAAAGCTGCTTCCTAACTCAGACCAGTCCTTTGATGCAAACACACTCACCAGCCAGGATACCACAGCCTGGCTGTGTACACAGCACTTAGATCCCCTGACCATTCATTATGTAGCTGGGGCCTCTGTTGAAGCTACAACCGTTCTTACTAACTGCAACCTCTAATCTTTCTCAGCTTTCAACTACCAGAATTCGAACGGACCAAAATATTAAGAGAAAATGTAACAAGAAGGGAAGGCAGTGCCGTTGACCCTAACTCACAAGGGCAGGCCCCTCCTGGGCCCCCTTGCTGACTTAGTCTTTTGCTTAGAGTTGACCCTCAGAGGATTTCACAGCCACAGAACTGATGTCTTGTGATGAGTTCTTGACTTTGGGATTCTAACAGATTCTCAATGGATGGAGCCAGTGAAACCTACAGGCTCCAGGATAAAGTGGTAAGAAAACAAAGGGCATGGCTCCCTGCTAGCCCAGGCACTTTTCATGACTGCAATGGTTGACTTTCACAAAAATTGAACACGGCAGAAAATGAGCTGCTCAACAAGGTTTGTTCGGCTCTGTACCCCATTTTGAGTGAGGTGAATCCTATTAAAGGGCAGGGGAGCCTAAAAACCCAAACCCTGAGTCAAAGTCACATTCCTCCCGTCCTCCCACCCAGAGCTAACACTACCCGTGCCAGGCACTGCCTTAAGCATTTCACATGCATTAACTCACTTTATATTTACAAAACCCCTTTGAGTTCAGTCTATTGCTGTGCCCATTTCACAGATTAAGAAGACTGAGCACATCAAGTCCAGCAGCCAGAAGGTGGCATGGCCAGGCAGTCTGGCTGTACTTCTGTCCTACTGTCTTCCACAACACAGAAGCCTTTTTGCAAGTTTATTTGCAAACCCAGAAATCAGAACATTAGGATGTGATGCCATGTGTGGAATTTCTGTATGAAGGCCAGCAAATTCCTGAGGCCATAGCCTTTCTGTTGCCTTAGGAATCTGTAGATAAGCTGAGTGCAGGCCAGGTGTTGAAAACACTCCACCTGGGAAGGACAGAGAGGAAGTGACTCTTGCTCTGGCCCAGGCATGGACGTTGTTTGTCTACTTTATTTACAGGGACTTCCCTCAGTCTCTTTCCCCTTAGTCATCTGCTTCGTCGCCACGATTTCCCCAACCCAGCCACCACTAGGAGCAGCACCAACAGTACACGAGTGAAAAGTTTCACGGCAACTCTGATGAAACGCTCAAGCTATTTCTGTTTTAATTTTGCTTTGTTTTGCCTTTTGGAGTAAACATGAGTTTGTGACACTGAAGTGAAGTAGTCAGTTGTGAAGGAAGGACAGTGGCCTCAGAGAATACGTGAAGAACCTGACCGATAACTACCTGTGGTCAGCTGTTGAGTATGGGGGCCATTCTGAGGCTGTGAATTAACTCTTCCTCCACCGCCATAACCCTACCCCAGACTTTAAGAGGTGCACTCAAGCACAGCTCAGCACTCCGGGACAAGGGGCAGGGACTCCAGCCCAGACACCCAGCTCTGCCTCTCACCAGCTGTGATTCTCGGCTGCCACTCTACTGCCTGGACTCAGTTTCCCCATCTGTGAAGCCAGGGCCAGTGGAGTCTGTGAGGCTGGGTGACTTGTGACCCACACACTATAACTGAACCTGAAGTTAGAAGTAGGACCAGTAAAGAAGAAACAGAAATGAGGAAATTAACCAACCAGGGTTTTTCCCACTTTCACTCTCTGACAGGACAAATAATCACTGCTACTTCAAACCCCAGGGAATGGCTTTTCCCGAACTCAAGTGCAGCAAACTCCCTGGCATTCAAAGTACTATAAAGTACTATAAACGAAAACCTCTAACTCTAACTCAGTTTTCTACTAGCACAGCACCTTTCTCGAGAGCAAAACAACTCACACCTGCTATTTATTCCAAAAACCAATTTCTACAGGGTCAGAGGATCAGTGACATTTTCCACATACTATAGATTTGGCCTGATTCTCAGGACTTGCACAAGGACAGCTTTACAATTGTGGTTTTAATTCTACATTTTAAAAAGTTATCTTTAATTCTACATTTTGAAGGAGACCTAAAACTAATTTCTTTCTTTTTGAAGGAGACCTAAAAAATTTTTTTTAAAAGAGCCTGAGATACAGCCTAAATCATACAAATATTGTGGCATAGCCAGTATAATTCTGTTAACAACACAGTTTGAACTCTTTTAAAACAAGCTAGCTGTTTTCTGACATCTAGTTATTCAACTTTTATTAATCTGTCTGCAAAGGGGTTGTTTCGGAGGCTGAAATGAATTACCAAAAGGTGACAGCAATTTGGTAACTTTCATAAAAATACGCTACTCTTCAGAAATTTGAGAAGTCTGTAGAGTGGATTTACCTAGAAAATTCCACTCATGCCATATATACATTTCACTTATTCACTTTTTGAAAATTATTGTATTCAAGTCGTTGTTTGCCTTAAACAAGCAATCAAATAAAAGCCTTTTGCAAGGAGAGGAGAATCTCTTTAGAAGAAGGAGGGGCCCCTCTTGGTCCTTCCCTGAGACACTGGGAAGGGACAGCTCTGAGAAAACCTACAAACCGCGTGGACGCCGCGGCCGGAAGTGCCCACTTGGTTGAGGAAGGTCATCGCCCGCTGAGGACACCAGCTGGACCAGCCTTCCAGCGGCGGCCCAAGCCCACTGAGCCCCGACCCCACGTAGGGGCACCACACACTCGAGTCTGTTTCCTCGGGGGCTCCCTCTGAAGTCTCCGGGCCAGGAGGGCCACGTGGTCCTGTCCCACGCGTGTGCGATCGCCCGCACGGGCGCGGGGGCGTCCGCGAGCTCCTATGGCTGCAGGAGGCTGAGTTGGCTGGGGTCGCGGTGCGCCGGGGCTGTAATGTGTGTCGCCAGAAACTCCAGCCCCGCCCCAGACCCTCCCGCCGTGGCCTCGGCTCCTTGCTGGTGTCCCAGCGCCGCGGGCGTGCGCCCCCCTCCCTCCCGGATCCCAGAACTTCCCCGAAGGACTCACTGGTCCCCGTGGATCCTCCCCCTTGGGGCGGCCCCGCCACTACCCCAAGGCCCTGGTTCCCGGGGGGCAGCCGCTCACCCAGCCGGCGGCTCCAGACACCGGACACCCGACACCGGACACCAGCCGCGCGCGCGCCACCGCCGCTGCCGGCACCTGAGCCCGCCCCGGGCGCGACGGAGGGGCCAGAGGGAGGGGCGCGCGGCGGCCAGGCTGGGGCCTCGCTCCCGCCTCCCGGCCCGCGCCTCCCACGCTCCCAGCCCTCACACCCTACTCTCTCGATCGCTCCCTACCCCCAGCACCTACCTGGACAGGGTGACGTGAGTGCCAGCCACGTCCAGTCGCGCCACCGGCGGCTGTCAGGAAAGTGAGGGAGGACCGGCCAGAGGCGGCCTCCGCGGCGCAGGCGGCTGGGCAAACTGGGGCCACGACGGCAAACACCCCGCAGCTCGCCCCGCCTCGCCCACATGCCGGGGTGACTGGCTGGGCGCTCGCTCGTGGCCCCACCCGGGAGTCTGGACACTCTCCAGGGCCACTCGTCGGCGAGTCTGGGCCTCCTGGGCACCTCGGCCCTCCTCCCTCCACTCTCAGCTAATGGGAGCTGGGTGTGCAGCCTGCGGTGGCGGTCCCGCTGCCCCCGGGGACCCGAGGGACGTATTCACCAAGGGCCGCGAGCTGACCCCTTCCACGCGCCACCGCTGGGGGCCCCTTACGAGAAGGAGTTCGCGGAGGTGGCCAGGCCCTTCTCGGGTAACCACCCCAAACCGGGTCTCCTCCTGAGTCTCTAGAGCTTTCTTTCTTTTGCTAACAATAAGTAAATACCAAACTCTGGGGCACTTATCAGCACAGGTGTGGCTTTGCTTACAAAGGCTGGGAAGATAGAGACGGAAAACAGACAAAGGTAATAAAGGAAAGAAACGCAGAGGAAAGGAAAGACAGGAAAGAAATCTGGTGAATCGCTGCAAGAACAGGTTGGGAGGTGCCTGAGGACGCCAGGGAGGAGCCGTTGAAGGAAAGCTGGCAGGAAATCACCAGAAGCAGAGTGGAAGTTTGGAGGGCTTTTTCCCACGTCCAAGGAAAATGAGTGGAGGAAACAGCCGCTTTGGTGAACCCCCAGATGGCAGGTGTTGGGGGAGAGACGAAGTAAACAGTAAGCAATGGTAGGCTTCTGGCTACCTGCTGGATTCAAAAATAAACTGTGCTCATGCCTCACCCTCTCCAGGCTGCAGACACAGAGTTACAGGTTGGGCGGAGCCGGAGCCTCAGCACAGTCAGGAAACAAGACCCAGCTATTTATTAATAGGAACCACTCCAGGGATCCAATCAGGGAAGAATTTCTGGCCTAGAGTTTGGTTCTCACTGCTATTTAAATGAATGGCTGTGTGAGGTGCTTTAGGCTGAAGTGTGATTTGTCCCTGGCAGCTGCTGTGGCCAGCTCAGAATGAATCCTAGCACTTCGTGGATGGGTTAATTGAAGAACTCAAAACTTGGTTCCTCAGCCAGTTAAAAATTCCACAGGGCACTTACCCTTCCTCGCCACTCAGTCTCCCCATGTCCTGTTAAGTGTGCCTTTATAATGGCTGTGGCATGTGCGGCCAACCTCTCCCAACCTCAATTTCCTCCTCTAGGTGATCAGTGCCTATGTTGTTAAGTTGCTGTGAGGGTTAAATGAGATATTACATGTCAAGTGCTGAGAACAGTTCCTGGCATAGCTAAGTGCTCAGACACATTAGCTCATAGGATTTCACACTGTATACTGGACAGTGAGTTCAGTTCTTACCACCTCACACCTGGGCTATGAGTTTTGCCTATCCTGTTACCTAGACTTTGTGACACCAGTCTCCCGGTATTCCTAGCCTGCGTAGTTCTCTCCCTCATGGTACCAGATTGGTCTGTAACCCATAGAAGACAGCCAAAGTGATGTTATGCCACTTCTGAGATTAGATTCAGAAACATAGCTTTTGCCTTGGTCTCTCTCTGTATCTAGCCCCCTGTCTCCACCCCTCTCCCCCCACCCCACTGGGATCATTCAGTCTGGGGACCTGCCATGTTATGAGCAACCCACAGAGAGGCCACAGGAGAGAACCTGAGAGCTCCCGCCAACAGCCTCAGGAATGAGCTTGGAAGCCCCATTTACCCCTGCAGATAACGGCACATTGGCCTATAGCTTGCTTCCGAATTTATGAGACCTCTCAACTAAGTCCCTCTTGAATTCCTGGCCCACAATCATTGAGATAGTACATTTGCGGTGTGGTAGGCCTATTGAGTTGGAGTAATTGCTTATATAAGCAATAAACTAATATATCCCCTCACGGGCCTCAATCCTAAAACCAGCTTTCGCTAGCTTTCACAATTAGGAGAATTACCTAGATAGCTTATTTAAACACAGATTCTGGACTTCGCCCCAGAGCTAAGAGATATAATACCTGTAGGGCCAGGCATTTTGAACAAGCATTCCAAATGATTGGGATAGGGTTGCAGATTATGCTTTAAGAAACTTTGCTTCAACCTCTCCAGGTCAGGTATTTCTGTATGGGGCTGTCAAATTAATCTTTTCCCCACTTTTTACTTTGTCTAGGTTAAAGGTCAATTTGTGTTTCAGTTCTATAAAAAATGTAAATTTGCTTCAGGTATGTTTTTTATAAAGTAAAATAGGATAAATGCTGATTTTTTATTAAAAATAAAAAATTTGCCAGGTCTGGTGGTATTTACCTGTAATCTCAGCCACCCGGGAAGCTGAGGCAGGAGGATCAGTTTAGCCCCGGAGTTTGAGGCTACAGTGAACTGTGATGACTCCATTCTACTCTAGCTAGGGCGATCAAGACCCTATCTCAAGAACAAGAAAAAAACTAATCTTTTTCGTAGCTAACTTGGATCCAACATTCAGGTGCCAAAAATCCTTTGAAGCTCACCCTCACTCTTATCCAAAAAATTGAGACTAAACTGCTTGCCAACGTTCAAGGCCCAGGACACCTGATGCTAATTTCCCTGAGCCTTATCATCGTCTTCTGAACACAAACCCTACGTTCAGATAATCTGGCATTTTTCTAGGTCCTGACCCTACACAGGCTTTACAGCTCTACACTGTGCCCTTGGTCTAAAGGTCTTGCCCCTACCTTGGCTTACGAAAACCCTGCCTCTCCTGCAAGCATCAGTCTTTAGAAAATCTTTCCCTCCCAGCTCTCCCCAGCCAGAAAAGGTCTCTGCCTCATCCACATTTATAGCACATTTGTCACAATTTAACACCTAACACATCCAAGAACTACTTAGTGAACACCTGCTAGATGCCAAGCCATCTGGTGACGCTGGGGGAGGGCAGAGAGTAGACAACCATGGTCTCTGATGCTGTCTGCAATGTGACCCTACCTTGTACAGTAACTGTGAGTATATTTTATGCCTCCTTTGAAATTGTAAACACCCTGACAATGAGGACTATGTCCTATGTGAGTTTGAGTTCTGCCCAATGTCTAGGCACACAGTGGGTGTTCCACGAATATTAGTTGAATGAATAACTAACATTACGGTTAGTTTTAGTGTTAGGATTAGGGTTAACAACCCAAAGGAATCCAGACTGAACAAAAAATAGTGCAGTCATTCACTCACCTTGGAACCCAGATTCTTTTTCCCTTCTCGCTTCACATCCCTGTCCCATCTTTCTTGTCCTTGCTTGCTTCTTTTTTGTATTTGTCACGATCTCTTCTGCTCTTATTTCTATAGTTTCCCTCTCTCCCATGTCCTGTTTCAATTATCATGATTTAAAACAGAAAATACACATTTTTTCCTCAATTTCAAAAGTAGGCAATGAAAATTTTTTTATACAGCTCTTAAAAAATATTAAGTGGCCTATTACTTCTTTCAGAGGCCCTTAATTACATTTTCCCCCCTTTGAGTCAGTACTCTCAGAATATCTAGGATCTTCTTCCAGCCTGGGCAACATAGCAAGACCCCACCTAGTGATCTAGGCTGCACTGTGAGGAAGAACATGGGAGGACTCTGGACCGGGGCTGGCCTTTGGGAAGTTAGAAACATGAAAGATGGATATCCTTGCACATGTATTCAGGAATGTTCTGCCATACATTCACTGCCAAAAGAGAGAAGTTAGATATCTGTTTACTTTGTACTAAAATGTGTGCTATATTGTTTATTTGTTGTGATGGACACATGAATCAAATAGTCTACATTTTAATGGGCATTCCTTTTGGAATGTTGCTTAGCAATCTTGTTGCTCTGGGTTAACAAGTATAATCACAGGGCACAGCACTTGTATGGGAGTATCAGGCCCAGAGACCCCTGTGTATAGGACATCCCCTCAAGCTGTGCAATACAGCAACTCTATGGCTGCCAGAAAGAAAGGAGAAACCACTTTTTACTTTGTCTAGGTTAAAGGTCAATTTGTGTTTCAGTTCTACAGAAAATATAATTCGCTTTAGGTATGTTTTTTATAAAAGAGAATAGGATAAACACTGACTTTTTTGTTATCAATTTCATTATCAGCTATAGGAACCCCAACCACTTTTTATCCTATCAGCTATAGAAACCTCAACCACTTTTTTTAACTCTTTTGTTCCCAGTAAATATGATATGGAAATGAAAGAAGAATGTGAAAACACTTAAACGTTACTAAAGTTTACCTTCATCTTTGAATCAATTAGATTTTAAAAATAGGAATAATTTTATGGAATTTAATAGGAGTTACCTTATGGAATTTTAACTCATGGAATATCCATGCTCTGATTTGCTAGTAAGAAATTCCTAGTTTCTCATGATTCTGTAATGCAGTGGTCAGCAGCCTGTGGTCCAGAGGAGCTGCCTCACCTTAGGCTTGTGGGTGTATTTGGACAACCCCTACCCCAGGTGATATGTGACATCTGTGATGGCCTGTGGCAACCAGGGTTTTTCACAGTTCAAGCTATGGGAAAGGAGCAAAAACAAACTCTTTCTAGAATTGCATCATTCCTGCAATCTTCGCAGGCAGCTCTGAGTCGATCTACAAGAGCTGATAAAATCAAAGTCTCATCTTTTCTTTTCCTTGGACCAGATTCAGAACTGGGTTTCAGTTCCCTAGCTTCTGTCTTAGGTGCAATCTTTTCAGAAAGTACACAAATTCATTTTAGTTTTATAAAGTGTTTACTTCAAGTGGGTATAGCAATACTTTTCA